AACGAGTCCGAAGGGAAGCAATCGGGTCATTACAAAAGGCAGCGCAAATATCCGGAGGAAACAAATATATATTCTATTACAAATCCCTAGGCCTCTATACATCTAGCAACCCACCAAGATGAATAATGAGGAAGAAACGCCTAACAAAAACCACCAAGGTGACGCATCAAAGACTTCACCAAAAATATCTGGAGGAAGAGATACTGAATAGATCCCCTAAAAGCTTGAAAAAATATAGGACCTGTCAAGAGGCCTATAGGAAACATAGAAAAAGGGGTAGGCCAAAATGAGTAGGAAGAGAACAGAGAAAAACAACCTTGCCACTACCCGCCTCGCAAAATAAGACATCCCCGCATTGGTAGAACCGATATCCCTACATGAAGAGGGCATCTCCACACAATTTGCAAGCATAGTCACCCTTTATTTGAGGCAAGCTTGCACATATAAAGATGCTTCCCCTAATGCAAGGATAGCGTGGGCACATCTAGGAGGACACTAATCGTTGCTAAGGAAGGGAAAGCAATTGAATTTCACATCAGGGTGAACAGTAATCCTCGTGGGGAGAGGTGGAGTCCTAGGACTCCATATCTTGATGTGCCTCGACTAGCCAGGTAAGCCTTGCAGCCTCCGCATTCAGCTCTTCCCAAATTATGACAATGCGTCTATCCTTATTGTGAAGGGTGTGGCACGTTACGTCCAATTCCTTCTTGTGGTCAGTGTGAGTTGAAGCCACTGCCTCTTTCAACTCGCTAACCCTTCTTCTGCTTTTTGGAATCATTTTAAAAGTGCAACCTGGCCCTAAAAATTAGGATATGCCTCTTGGAAGAGAAAGGTCATTAGGAAGAAAAGTTGTAAGGGGAAAACCACAAGTACCTGTTAGCGACATAAACTTCTAAGCCAATAAATGCAATAAGCCCAAGGAAAGGAAAAAACCTTGCTCTAATCTGCAACCACTTGGGTTAACAGAGTGACCTGACTCTGCTACTTATACTCTTCCCAGATAGACCCAAGAACGTAGTCAAAAAGGGTGCCCAGCGAAGCCTACAAATGATCTGGAGGCTCCCTCATTGCTTGCAGAGCCCTTGGTAACTAAGGAAGGCGAGCCTTTTAACAAACATTCGAGGGCTTCTTCTACTCCTCCTAGCCTTTTTATCCTCAAAAAGGTTGACCATTAGGGCTATTCCCCAATCAACGACACCACTTAGAGTGCCCACCTCTTGGCAATTGTGAAGCCACCTAATAACAAGAACTATCTTCTAGGGCCTAGCCTGGTCGGAACAGTTTAGCCAAGACGTAGCCTTATTGCCACAGTCCGCAAGCCACCAGGGAGGGATTCTGCCGCCATCTCCTTCTCCTCCATCGTAGGTATGGAACCTATTAGAAGATGACATTTGCATGAAAATGAAACTTTAGTCAGATAGCGAAACGTAAAAGAATAATAACAATGATAAAACCAAGGAAAAAAGGTATACCAACCTTGCCTAATTGTAATATTCTATATAGCTAGTAGTTCATTGGAAAAATATAAGTAAAACTCAATAACATGTAATGTAATAGTGGGCCCAAAATAAATTTAACTTTATATAAAAATCTTTACACCAAGTAATAAAGTCACAAAAAAAAAAGTACAAAGTAATCTCGGACAGTGGTGCAATTCTCCTCTGCTACTTGACGTTCCTCCTGATTGCATCTCATCTATTACCTGCAAAAATAGTGAAATCAACAGAATGAGCACTAACAGTACTTCTATTGTTTTTCCGTTACTCAGATCCTAGATTTTCTTTCCTTATACCAAACTTCTCAATTCTTCTATGCTCTTTCAAAGATTATAGTTTCTCACTTACCGATATGTAAGCACAAATAGGGAAACAAACTCAGGGTAGTAGAAATGGCATGATGCATATGCACAAATGCATAAAAAAATTTCTATGCAGTGCATTTTCTTTTCTGTTTCAATTCTCTCTTTTTTGTTTCTCTTCTTTCTTTTCTGTTTCTCTTATTTTCTATTCTTTCCTGTTTTCTATTCTTTCTTTCTTTTCTAATCTTTCTTCCTTTTTTTTTTTTTATATATATCCTTTCTTTCTTTTCTATTCTATTCTTTTTTTTTTCTTTTTTATTATTTCTTTGCCGATCGGACTCGGTTGAGGCATGGATTCGGAACCTTGGCCATGCGAGTGTATTCTCAAATTCTTTCTTGGGTACAGTCCTCATCCACATGCACTTCTTACAGACTGTATAAATTCTTCTTTCTTATTCTTAGGCCACTCACTAAAGGCAGCGTGCATGTGGGGATATTCTTCTTATCTGTCACTTATGGGTTCCCCATCGCAACAACCTTCTCTTCTCTTATCTTTTTATATTTCTTTAAGTAAAATTTTAGATTTGAGGTATTCTTTAATTATGTTCTTTAGATAATGATTCTACAATTAATTTCTTTTCTTTCTTTCTCTTTATTCTTTAATGTTCTCATACATGTATATGTGCATGTAAATATGCTCATTCTTTGCTATTCTTTCTAAATGCAAATGCTCAAACGTAAGAATGCATTATGGCATATAAAGATATCATTATGGAACTAGTATTCTCTACCAACAACATTTCAATAACAAAGTAATAATCTAATATAATCATATATATGCACTTTCTTTGAAATTTCATCAAACACCTTATATGCTCATACAAACCCTAAATTGGTTATAGTTCCACTTATTTCTCAAGCCACCAAAATTGGAGCAAAAACTCCCTAAGGCCAACAACCACCCTAGCCGAATTTCACCTTCCACCCTCCACATCCATTCTTTCATATTTAATCAACTCACATGTACAAATACATCACTTCTCATGGCCATAAGATTCACAAATCAAACAACCTCAGTTTCAATCCATAATTCTTATCATCCGAACACACATACAACATATACAAAATTTCTCTACACAAGTATTTATTCAATCAAAGTTAAAGTTTGATTTACTTACCTTGAATTTGAGCTATTCCAACACTATAATCTCTCTTTGGTAGAATTCCCCTTTCTCTTAACCCTAAGCATATAAAACCATAAGAGTTCAAAACTTTAAAATTTAATCTCACATCTTGGTGCAAGAATCTTACCTTTGAATGCTTAGGATTGAAAATCTATCAAAATCTAGCCAAAATCCTAAGAATTTCTTTGGAGATTTAGTGAAGAAATTTGAGAGAATTTGGGGTGAAGGTGGCGTGAACAATGGGTGGAGTGGCTAGGGTTTCAACTCTTGAACTCTTATTACTACATAATAATATATATAGTTTCCCATTTTACTCTTGCACTTTCTAAAAATTCCATCTATGTCCCTTAGTTAGTTACAATAATGCCCTCATTTCTATTATCTTCTCTATGTTATTCTACTTCTTTTCATTCCCCACTCTTTCATCAATTATGAGTGGAATGACTATTTTACCCGTAATAACATTTTAAAGAATTTCTTTAACACTTGTCCAAGATAACTCTAACAAGATTCAACTAAAGGTATTAGGGCATAAATAAAGTTACGTACCTTGATGTGGGCGTCACACTAATAATCTCCGGTGACTCAACAAAGGTTATGAAGTAGGGACAAGCAAGTATCTTTCTAAAAATGAAGAACCAAAAGCGACAAAGATAATAGCCCTAAATGAAACGACCATATTTATAGATGGAGAGGAAGGCCAACCATTCACATCATCATTATCATCGTTTCATTGTACCTATAAAAAAGGTATGGGAGTCTCCTCATTCCTTCCAACCGCTGTCATTTCCAACGCATTCGTACGCATGGGGAAGGTAAATAGATGTGCAATCATTCATTACGCTGCCAAAGAGTTAAGTGAAAAGGCCTATGATGTGACCAAACAGGGCAAGGGAAAAAGTGTCAAAGGTGACACATCGCATAGAAAAAATGGATTCGATAAGATAGATGTAGCTTGCCAAAACCATTAGACGCTGAAGCTCGCAACCCATCTGACACGCAGGTCACTAGAAAATAGTTTTTGAAGCCCAACACTGCCCTCCAAAATCTGGGGGTTTAATGTTGTGCCTAATTTCCTAGTGGTTAGATTTGTGCTATGCATCCTTAAGGTGTATCAAAGCCTGTCAACCAAGATCATCCCACGTGTCGTCCCATCAATGCTTACCTTCTCTCACAAGGTAATTACTGTCATAACCATGGGTTAGCTTGTTATTAGCAAAGCCTGGTCTATCACAAGCATGGAGATTACTGACTCAAATCCTGATTAAAGGGATTATGCATGCAAGCATCCCGTAATACCTAGTCTCAACTACTGCCAGAAGGACCAAGTATAAAAGGAGTCCATAGCCTCCATTTCAAGAGATAATTCCGATCTAATAAAGTTCAAGAGAAAAACACACTCATCTGTGTAAGAAAGCATTTTAAGAGAGAAGGTTGTGAGAGCTAAAGGTCTTCCATTTAGCTCATGCACATTTCCTTTGTAACTTCTCCTTGCCCTATAACATAACTAAGCAATAACATAACAATAGATGTAGGCTTGGTCTTTATGCCGCTGAACCACTATAAAAATCTCTTTTGTTCTTTACTTTTTTTATGTCATTTTTATCAACCTTGTTGGTTATCAGTAACCATATGCAAATCTTGTCTGGCCACTTCTGAGGTCGACTAGGTATCTCTGCTTGGTACAAAATTTCACATCAATCATTTGTTATGAAGATATATTAAGATATTGGAGGATATTAAAAATGAAAATCATAAAACTTAATAAATTCGATTTCTGTTTGAAAAATAATATTATGAGTTTTTCCATGACTGCAATGGAAATAATTTTGGCAAAAAGTTTAGGCCTTTAGAATTAACAATTACATTTGTGGCCAAGCTTTAAACTTTAATGGCCAAAAAAAAAAAAAAAAAAAAAAGATCATTAGAATGGCACAAAACTTTTTCTATTAGGCTTATTTGAGACAAACCCGCCTTTGTTTATTTAATATCTATCATTGTAATTCAATAAGTTATCCATGCCTCATGCCAAATCTCTTGGTACCACACCAACACAGAGTAAAATCTCTATACATGGAAAGGCTAAAGGAGCTATAGAGATTTTTCAATTGATGCAAAGAAGTGGACAAAAGCCTTGTTCTAATAGCTTTATTTGTGTATTATCTACCTACAGCCAGGCTGGCCTAGCTGATGAAGGCTGCAAATTTTTTGATAGCATGTGTAAAGAGCATGGTATTGAAGCAAGGATGAAGCATTATGCCTACATGGTGACCCTTCTAGGTCGTGTTGGAAGGCTAGAAGAGGCATATAATATGATTGAGCGAATGTCTTTCAAGCCAAACGCTTGTGTTTGGGGAGCTTTGCTTAGTTCTTGTAAAGTTCACGGTAATGTGAGTATAGATGAGGCTACTGCTAAACATCTATTACGCGACAAGGGACTATGGATGCAACGAAAAAACTCTTTAACGAGATGGGTTGTTTAAGGGTGGAGCCCGATGTGTTTACTTGGAATGATATGATTGCACGGTTTAATCAAAGCGGACATTATGAAGAGGCAGTTCTTTTGTTTCAAAGGATGCATTTTGAAGGATTTACACCTGAAGAGCATAGTGTTTCTAGTGTTCTTTCCGCTGTGGGCGACTTGGAGAATCCTAAGCTTGGGATTCAGATTCATGGTTTTGTGATTAAGGACGTGTTATCGGAGGACAACTGGGTCAGTACTTCACTTATTGATATGTACGAAAAGTGTGCGTGTACATGGAATATGTCCAAAGTGCTTCATGAGATGGAATTTTTGGATGTAGTTGTTTGCAATGCTTTTCTTACGGGTCTCTGTAGGAATGGTCTTGTTGACAATGCATTGGAGGTCTTTAGGCAATTCCAGAGCCAAGGAGCGGAATTAGATGTTGTGTCTTGGACGTCAATGATTGCTGGTTTCTCACAAAATGGGAAAGGTATTGAGGCATTGGAACCTTTTAGAGAGATGCAAACAGCGGGGATGCAGCCAAACAATGTTACAATACCTTGCTTGCTATCAGCCTGTGGAAGTATTGCAGCATTGATGCTCGGGAAGGTGGCTCATTGTTTTTCTATCAGAAGAGGGATATCTGATGCTATTTCCGTGTCTGGGGCACTAATTGACATGTATGCAAAGTGTGGAAGGATTCAAATGTCTCGACTTTGTTTTGATATGATGTCATCCAAAAACTTGGTTTGTTATAACGCTATAATGGGTGGATATGCTATGCATGGAGAGGCTAAAGAAGCTATAGAGATTTTTCATTTGATGCAAAGAAGTGGACAAAAGCCTTGTTTTGTTAGCTTCATTTGTGTATTATCTGTCTACAACCAAGCTGGCCTAGCTGATGAAGGCTGCAAATTTTTTAATAGCATGTGTAAAGAGCATGGGATTGAAGCAAGGATGGAGCATTATGGTTGCATGGCAACCCTTCTAGGTCGTGCTGAAAGGTTAGAAAAGGCATATGATATGATTGAGCGAATGCCTTTCGAGCCAAACCCTTGTGTTTGGGGAGCTTTGCTTAGTTCTTGCAGTGTTCACGGTAATGTGAGTATAGGTGAGGCTTCTGCTAAACATCTCTTTGAACTGGAACCTACAAATTCTGGGCAATACATCCTTCTATCCTATATATATGCTTCCAAAGGCATGTGGACTGAGGTTGATGCGGTGAGAGATATGATGAAAGCTTTGGGTTTGAGGAAGAGCCCTTGCTGTAGTTGGATTAAGGTCAAAAATAAAGTGCACATGCTTCTTGCCAGAGATGAATCACATCCTCAGATGACCCAAATCATGGAGAAGTTGAATAAATTAAAATGGAGATGAAGAAGTCAAGTTACTTTCCACATACTGACTTTGTGTTGCAAGATGTGGAGGAGCAGGATAAGGAGCTGATGTTGTGTCGGCACAGTGAGAAATTGGCTGTAGTGCTTGGACTTCTTGATTCTCCACCAGGAGCTCCACTTCATGTGATTAAGAACCCAAGAATCTGCTTTGATTGCCATGTTATTATAAAATTTATATCCAATTTTGAGAGGAGAGACATATTTGTTAGAGACACTAAGAGGTTCCATCATTTTAAAGATGGAGTTTGTTCTTGTGGGGATTATTGTTGGAAAAATGTTATAGCTGACTCACAAATTTAGCATCACTCATTCACTCTTGAAAAGGAGGAAGTGAATTTGTGAAATTGAGTCCTTTGGTGATGTAGGAAAATTATGGTTAAATTATGATTCCCCGTTGTTTCCCTTTCTTTATTTGATTTTCTTATTTATTTAGAGTTTCATTTTAGGAATTTAAGTAGTTTCTTCATTTCATTTGAAGTTTTGTTTATACAGGAAGTTTCAATTTAGTCAAGCCTTACTTTCTTATTATATAATTCCTTGTTCTAATGATACATAATATAAGGATTTTCTTATTTCTTGTTCTAGTAACATTAGGATTAGTTTAGCATAAATAGGCTTATTATTCTACAAACAATGATGAATGATTTTTTTTTAAATAAAATTTCTTGATGATTCCATAGTGAATTGTTTCGTCGTGGATTCGACATCTTCTCGTGCATTCGCGATTCATTGTTCGTGGTTGCGAGCCACTGTGCTAGAGCGTATCTCATGCCTATCCAATGTCTATTATGCAAGTGCTTTTAAAGCAGTTTTATACGTTTGATTCAAATCCATTTTAGTGATAATCTTTTGTTTCTTTGGCATCTGATAAAATACTAAATACTCTGACAGATATGTGTACATATGAGTCAATGAATGTCAAGCATTTCCCCGGTTCTGATGCATGTTGGTTGAACCTTTATCAAGTTCAACATAACTAAAATTCTTTGCTTTTGGTGCTTCTTTATTGGTGGAGTGGAGAACAGAAACTGGACGCATTCTTCAGGTACTGTATAGTATATAAATTATTTAGACTGTTTTCCCAATTATGATGAGTAGTATCAGTTACATGGAATTTATGTTCTCACTATTTCACTTTGTTCATCAACCGATACTTTGCCTAGCACAGAACTTTTTTTTTTTTTCCTTTCAAAAAAAAAAATAAAAAATAACAATGAAGTTTTTCAATTAAACAAAAAAGTGTTCTTCCTTATGAGGAGGGCCTAGCTCTTCCAAAGTATACTATAATAGTATAAACAGTATAANCCTGGTTCTGATGCATGTTGGTTGAACCTTTATCAAGTTCAACATAACTAAAATTCTTTGCTTTTGGTGCTTCTTTATTGGTGGAGTGGAGAACAGAAACTGGACGCATTCTTTAGGTACTGTATAAATTATTTAGCCTGTTTTCCCAATTATGATGAGTAGTATCTATCAGTTACATGGAATTTATGTTCTCACTGTATCACTATGTTCATCAGCCTATACTTTGCCTAGCATAGACTTTTTTTTTCCTTTAAAAAAAAAAAATAAATAACAATGAAGTTTTTCAATTAAACAAAAAAGTGTTCTTCCTTATGAGGAGGGCCTAGCTCTTCCAAAGTATACCATAGTAGTATAAATAGTATAATCTTCAAGACTTTAGGTAGAGTAGACAAGTATGTTTGATATTTAAAAATACAGGACAAAAAGATGAAGAATCCAGTAGGACAGTTTATTATTCTTTGTAGTCTATTGAGAAATTCTTTTGTGCAGTTTGGGTTGAGTTGAACTTGATAGACAAATGGTGCCATGAACTTGGTTCGCTCTATTATAATTGTTAATGTCTTTTAAATCATATTGCTGTTATTCCATTATAAAAGTTTTGACTCTTGTATTATTTGTACTTTCAGTATCCTGTTTGCAATTTCGGTCATAGATCCATGCACATGCACGTATGGGGGGACGAAGAATGCAGATAAGTCTCTGCTTCGGGCCATGTCATGGAAAAATCTTGAAGCTGGTCTCTGATATAGAGAGGCTTTGCCTCCATGCTTTGGTCTTGGGTAGATGATTAGGCTAAATTTCTTGCACTAACTTCTTATTTCAGTATGCGGTATGTTTTAGGATTATCATTTTATATTAGTAAGTTCATTCATCCTCACACAGGAGACATAGTACATTTTTCCCGTGCCTAACGCCTACAGATTTTGCACAGATTTTGAGCTAATTTAGGGAACTTGCACCTATAATGTATTCACTGTCAATCTAACTAACTAGTTACATTTAGAGATTGGTCACATCATTTGTTAATTGCTAAACTTTGCAGGCTGATTATATTTTGTAAGAGTTACAACACTTATGGGTTATGCTTATTCACTGGCCTTGGCTGACTATGTTGATTTAATTGCTTATTTGAAATGTGTCGAAGAAACCTCATCACTCAAATGTCAAATATATTCTTCTCGGTAACTAGAGATCAACAAAACTAAAGCTTTTTTAGTGTGAGGTACCTAGTTTTTGCTAGACTATTCCCATAGTTGCTTGTTAGAATTGTAGCCCTTTATCAAACACAAGTAATCTATAACTTTATATGATGCGACTACTGGAAGGGTTGTGTAGATTGATGTATTTTAGATGGATCGGTGCAGATTCATGTGGTTTGACTCCAAAAAGACTAATATAAACCAAATATTACATAGAAAATCCTCAATGACATAGGTATATGTTCATCAGTTTAGTTACGAAAAACATTGTTCATCTTTCACTCTAGAATAATTGGATATTATCTTTGTACTTATAGCATGGTTTTAGCATCCCATAAAATCAGCTAAGATTTTGTTTTAGTGATCAATCAAGTAGTCAGGTCCTTTAGATTGAAAGGGTCCACTTGCACTCCACTGTGGATTGACATAATTATTGTCCTCAAAATAAACGGCCATAAATGCTTGAAATCAATGGACGAAAACTGGAGTAGGTTTTACATTCTCACTCGCTTGTAAAGATGGTTAAAAACCAAAATAAATATTCTAGGTGACGATTCACAGCTCTGTCTAAAAACCTGTTAAGAGTCGTAATTGGTCATTATATGGCTTAAATAACATTTAAACTACGTCAACACTTTGTACCGATTCATATACTTTCTTCTCACTCACGAAACTCCATCACTATCATACTCACCACAACTCCCTCAAATCACTAGCAACCTAAATAGCTTTAAAATAATGAATCAATAAAAACACTAAGAAGATTGACTATATAAAACCTATCAAATGTGAAAACGAGAATTTAGACATAAACTTGAGCTAATATCAAAGTGCATGATGTTTAAAATATAAATTAACATCATGCACACAAACATCATAGGTGTACTCATTAATTTCTATAATTCTTTTTAGATTGAATCTTTCGTTATTTATTAGAGAAATACAATTAACTAGTTTACAATTTGAAAATAATATGCCATTGATGCTGTGAATCTTAACATGATGTTTTAAGAACCACTCCAACAAGTTCCCCGTTATTTTCCTTTGTGGATGCAGGTTCTAGGTGATGACGCAGTCGGAGGGGCGTCGGCAAGCGAAGAGGAATAGCTACACTGTTTTCCCCTGTTTTGTCTTTTAAAATGCATTTTTGTAAACAGTAATCTTTGTGTATAAAAGACATATGATTTCTAATGAAAAGAAATTTTTGGGGCCCAATTTTATATTGTTATTATGCATGCATTGTCCTAGTTTTCAGTAGTTGTTACATGATACAAGAGAGTTTTACTCTCATTTTGAATGGTTTAAGAACAAATAGAATTATAATTAAAGTAGAGTTTGTATATGCACATTTATTGTTTGATGAAATACCTAAGAGAAGTATGAGTATGAGTAGAAACCTTAATTTTATGCAACATTGCATATTTGCATTTCATGAGTGCATTTAAGTAAAAAATTTAAGCATGAGCCATCCATATGCATACATTTATATATGTGTAATAACTTAAGAAAGAATAAAGAATTTTAAGAATAAAACACTCTAAGAATAAAGAGAAAGAAAGAATAAGCATTAAAAAATTAAAGAAAGAAAAGTATTAAAGAAGAGAAAAGAATAGGTTGTGCGATGGGGAACCGTGAGTGCTAAGAAGAAGTTCCCACATACACGCCACCTTAATTGAGTGGCATAAAAAGAAGAAGAAGAATTGTACAACCCATAAGAGTGTATGTGGATGAGGGTTGTACCAAGAAGAATTCCTACATGCACGCCACCTCAATTGAGCGGCCTAAGAAGAAAGAAAGAATTTGTACGGTCCGCAAGAGTGGATGTAGATGAGGACTGTACTCACTCACATGGCCAAGGTTCCAAATCCATGCATCAATCGAGTCTGATCGGCAAAGACTAAGAAAAGAAAGAATAAGAAAGAATGAGAAAGCTTGAGCAAGCAAGCAAAGAAAAGAAGTGAAGAACTTGATCAAGCAAGAAAAGAAAAAGAGAGAAAGAAAAGAATAGAAAGAAAACAAAAGAAAGGAAAGAAAAAGAAAAGAAAATAAATAGAATGAGAAATAGAAAGAAGAAAGAAAATGCATTTCTATGCATTCTTACATATGCATTTCATTCATGCATATCACCATGAATTCCATCATGGTTAGAAAGAATAGAAAGAACGAACATAGAGAAAGAAAGAACAAAAAGAAAGAAAGAATAGAGAGAATTAGAAAGAAAGAAAAGGACAGTGAGAATTAGAAACAGAGAAAGAAGAAGAGAAAGAAAGAAAGAAGAAGAGAATTAAGGAAGGAAAGAACCAAAGAGGGAGAAGAGTTAAGGGATTTACTTACTGACCATTTTTATGCTCATCCCATTGTTTTTCCATGTTTTTGCAGGAAATAGGTGAGCAGCGGTCGGAAGGGAGTTGTCAAGCAGCAAGAATTGGCATTACTGTCCACCGTTGCTAAGTTTTTGTACTTGTTATTTTGGTATATGTAAAGAATTATATTTTTGTAAGTAAAGAAAAATTGGGCCCAACTATTTTTCATATGCTAATTATGTATATTTTCACTGCATATGTTATAAAGTATACTAGTAGAAAGAAGTCATTACAGGTCGGCAAGAAAGAATGTTTTATTTATTTATCCATAGTTAAAAATAAATATTCTCTTTTATTTATTTAATTAGCTTAAATGTACGATACCGTTTAGAAAATACTTCTCAGTCTTTTGAGGCAAACTTTAACTTACCATTGCGTGAAAGGTGAAACAATCAGGGCTCTCTGATATAATGTTACTTTGCACTTGAAAAATAAGGTTGTAACGAATGATGAACTTGATGAAACAAGCTCTTCCTCTCTTCAAAAACCCTAAACGTTCAATCTTTCATACCCTCAACTC